TTCTATAACCCATAAAAATAAAACTTGTAAATTACTATTCATTTAAAAAAAGAATAATATGAATCTTTTTGATAAGAATAAAACACATTTTTAGCAAATTATAAAGTTGAAATAAATTTTAATCATGTCTTGCATAATTTGTTTTTTTAATCTTTAATATTAAAAAACTTTGTATTCACAAATAGGACAAAACAATAAAAAATAAATCTTTAAAAAAATATGTCAACATAAAAAAAAGACTAACAAAACTTAATTTTGATAAAGATCTCAAATATATTTACAAGTAAAGATTAATATCATTATATATTAATAATTCATTTTGTGATAATGATTTTAAACTTAACTTTGAATTTTTTTGTAGATTAATATTTATAAAAAAATAAAAATACACCATTTTGTTAAATATTATTTACAATTAGTATATTAGCTTTGTAATAATTAACCAGATAATGAGTTATTTTTGTAGATGGAATTGCTAGACAATGTGTTTTTTTTTAAGGAGAGATAATAATACTAAAAATAATGGAACTCTAAGATAAAATCAATGCTTGGTGGAATTATTAAATAAAAAATAGAATAAAAACATAAAATGAACATAATTTGTATTTATTCAAAGTTAAAATATATTACTTTGAATTTTTTTAATATTTTTGAGGATTATCAAACATGATATTAACTAACAATAATATAATAGAATATTTCTATTTAAAATATATAGCTTGTTTAAAAAAAGTATTTTTTTATAAATTATTAAAATAGAACTAATAATGTTGTATTAGCATGTAAAAAAATAATACTAATGTTTATAATAAAAAATAAGGTAATGATCTTTGTATCAATTTTAAGACTTTTTGAAATGATATGACTTCAAAAAGAAGAAAAAAAAACCAAAAAATAATACTAAAGTGGTATTCTAGTTTTTTATTTTTATTTTATTTTTATTGGAAAATGTATCTTAAAACTTCTAATGTGTATTGGAATTCAAATTAAAAAAGAAAGAGAAATATGATAAATAAAATGTAGTAATTGAAAGTGTGATAAATGAGATTCTTTATAGGTTTGTTTGTTTTAATTTCTTTTAAAGATTATTAAAAAAATATTTATTTTATACAAAAAAATCATTTTCTATAGAAAATATAATTAATTTAAAAATAAAAACCTCCAAAACAAAATTGCTTGCAAATGTATCCATAACAAACTATGTATATATATATATATATATATATATATATATTTCATTAGAGCCAAATATTATTTTACTAGTTTAATAGTGGTATTCATAAAAAATTATATATATATATTTCATCAAAGCCAAATATTATTTTATTAGTTTAATAGTAGGTTGGCATCTAATTGTAGTAACAATGTTCTTTAATTATCTAATTGAATAGACCATGTCTTTGATAAGAAAAACAAGGTTTGATACTAATGTAGATAATTCATTTCTGATAACTTAAGTATTTCAATATATTTGCAATAAGTGTAAAAATGAAATAAAAATACCTTCATATAAAAATAATAGAAATAAGGAGGATTCCAAGTATTTTTATACAATTTGGCTTCAAAATAGAAATTAATTAATCAATTACTACCACTTGTTGAAAATTCAGACATATCCATTCTAAGAATTAGGTAGGCCTATATATTGGAAATGAGGGTTGGTCAAAAATGGATTAGCTACTTTACATAGGACTTAAGTCAATCTTTGCATACAATATATTTTACACATTTACTATTAGTAATGGTTGAAATTGGAATCCAATGGGTTATGCTCCTATAAAAAAATATCTCTTAATAAATTATTCAAGAAATCATCCAACTTAGTATCTTGAATATTCAAAATACTCAAGGTGATTTTGTACAAAATATTTAAGATAGCACGTTGGTTGATTCTATACAAAATATTGAAGATATTGGATTAGGTGATTTTGCATAGAATATTCAAGATATTGAATTGATTGATTTTGTATAGAATACTCAAGATACTAAATTAGGTGATTCTAGTATCTTGAGTATTCTATGCATAATCACTCAATTTGATATCTTGAATATTCTACACATAATCATTCAACCCAGTATCTTGAGTATTTTACATATAATTATCCAACTCAATATCTTGAGTATTCTATGTATAATTACTCAACTCAGTATCTTGAGTATTTTGCACATAGTTACTCAATCCAATATCTTGAGTATTTTGTACATAATCACTCATTCTAATATCTTGAGTATTTTACACATAATCACTCAATCCAATATCTTGAGTATTTTGTGTATAATCACCCAACTTGGTATCTTAAATATTTTGCACATAATCATCCAACCCAACATCTTAAATATTCTATGCACAATCACCTAAAGTATCTTGAGTATTTTGTGCATAATCACTCAATCCAATATCTTGAGTATTTTGCATATAATCACTCAACTAAATAACTTGAGTATTTTGTGCATAATCATCCAACTTGGTATCTTAAATATTTTGCATATAATCATCCAAATCGATATCTTGAATATTCTATGCATAATCACCCAAAGTAACTTGAGTATTTTGTACATAATCACTCAATCCGATATCTTGAATATTTTGCACATAATCACTCAACCTGATATCTTGAATATTTTGTGCATAATCACCCAACTTGATATCTTAAAAACTTTGCACATAATCATCCAACTTAATATTGTAGAAGTGGGAATTTGCCTTAAGAAAGTGTTGGGCTTCTAGCTGTCACTAAATGTTCAACCAAGCTTCTAGATAAAAAAAATACCAAGTATATATATAAAATTATTCCTATAGGGGCAATTATATCAATAAATGAGCCTTAAGTACCAAAGATCACCAAAAATGTAATAAAAATATTATAATTTTTTTGTATATTCTTAAGGTAAATTCTTCTTGAATTTCAATAGGACATATCTCACAATTGGACCATCCAAAAAAAACCAAATTTTACATAAAGTATTGATGTGCTTTTAACAAAAACCACAACAAATTTCAACTATAAATTTATTACAGATCTTGAAATATTGCCAAAATTCTAACAGTAGCTTCATACACTTGCTTACATACACCCATGTACAAATTTCTTCATATTTCACAAAATAAGTATTAAAATAACATGAAATTTTGATATATAGCTTTTTAACTCAATAACACACATTTTTGAAAATTTTTAGCCAAAAATTCATCCAAAAACTTAAGATATGGCTCCAATCATTATTATCAACAAAACGACTTACTTATTGCCTCTGAATTACATATGTTATTTTCATCACTCTATAACTTCTTCATATAAACTCTAAATGTAAAAATTCCTCCAAAAAAGATATAGATCTTGAAATCACCCTTGTGGTTGCACCTCTCGATTTCCAAAATCTATCATAAAACTCTTTGTATCCTCAAAATAGAAACAATATGTCTTAAAAAGATACCTTAACTTCAAACAGCTATAACTTCATCATCCTAACTCCAAATCCTCTAAAATTTGCATACAAATTGTATTCTAAATCCTAAACCTTACAACCCTTGCTTCTGATTCTCAAATGCTCATTCTGAAGTTGCCAAAATCCTTACTATGGTCATCGATAGCCTACTAAATGTCTATTGAGTCTTCAACCAATAGGGATAAAGATTTTTATCTTTTGCCTTCATCTGACTATGGCTTGATTTCATTCCTCCACATAAACCTTCTAGTAGTTTAAATTTTCATCCTTAGATTTCCACCTTTTCTTAAAACTCTATACTAAACATCTATATCTTATATAATTTAAACACTATAATACAAATAGATAAAATTCAAAATAAAATTTCTTATATCCACTCTCTTTAAATTAATTTAATAACCATTCTAATACACATTAAGATTTATGAACATAAAATATATTTTAGCTAATTTTTACACACTATAAGCATTTATAATACAACATCCACCTCCTCCAAACTTGCACATCTTCCAGCATGTGTCAATCTAACCATGCTTGTCCTCTTCATCATCTCTATCTATTTGTGCATCTTCCATTTAGTCCAAATCTTTAATCCTCTTGCCATCATGGCTACAAATTCTAGCATAGTATGAGCCATCATCCAACACCTTAGTTTCCATTCTTGTTGCAGTGATATATGGCTGCCTCAAAATGATTAGATAACTTCCTTGATTTTGCACAAAGAAGTTCTGCTCCACTTCTACATCACCAATTTTGATGTCTATTGCTGGACATGCTCCATAAAGGCTACCTTGTTCATCATTGGCTGCTCTCAATATCCATCCATGGTTGATGTCCATTGACCACTTATCTTTCTCATAAATCTTTCTAGACAAGATGTTGATCTTAGAGCCATAATCCACCAATGCTAAGATTGATTCTTCAAGGCTCCCAATCTTTACATGTGTATTTGTAGTAGCTCTTACCCAAAATGGATGAGTATAAGTTGTCAAAGCTTCACCATTATTCCTCCATAGATTATTAACCTCACATTGGGACACCTTGGCCTCCATTATAATTTTTTTTTCTTGGTTCTTGCTAGTATTGGCTTCCACCTTCATATTAGCCACCCTATTACATAAAAGCATGTGTAGCACATCATCTTCTATCTCATTACATAAATCTTCTTCCATAATTTCAACTTCTATTTTCACTATCTTATCATAAATAACTCCATATATTTTGCTTTGGTCACTATTGCCCATATTATCACATTTCAAGGCAAAAACTTCTCCAATCTCCTCTTCTTCTTCTTTGGTCATCAGAGTATCCAATGCTCTTGCCATGATTGTTTCAGCTGTCATTTGTCTCTTTCTCTTGATAACATTAATAATGAGCTCATGAAAATCTCTCTTACCAATACCAAGAGCTTACTTCAAAGTAACTTTATCTTTAATATTCTACGCATATCTTGATTATTTTGCGGATAATCATCCAACCGGATATAGTGAGTATTTTGCGCATAATCAATAAATCTAGTATCTTCAGTATCATAAGAGAAAGACAAAAGAACGTTCAGAAACCGTGCCGAGACTCTGCACGTTGCAAGAAAAGAGATCAAAATATAATTTGCATTTCAATGCAATTTTATCGTTTGCAACTAATAGATTACCTGAATTAGAAACCTGCTAGGTTTATGTTCACTACTAGTTTGCTCAATCGTAAGAGTTATCTTTGAAATTATCTCGGGTAACATCCTTGAAACCAACTCGGGTAAAATCTATCGACACAACAATGGTCATAAAGTAACTACGAAGTTTCCCAACTCCAATTTCCACAAACATTGAAAGTAAACATTATCAACATAAATCATCCAGGTCGTCTCCCGGTGCTAGTAATTCGCTTGGCGGCTTCTTTTTTTGATTTGATGATTTCCAACAGCGCCCTCAGAATTGAAACCCATCTCGTCATGGCCACCGCTGCAATGAGGACCATTAATGACCGTCGCTTGGAGTGGTCTCATGAAATTTGCAGTCGCTTGCGTAAGACCATCTCCTCCGCCAGGGCCACTGTCGCCTCGAGTATCTTATGAACGATCGTTGAATCCCACCCATGAGTTGTCATTCGGACTGGCATCAAAACTCTCGTCTTGAGTCCCCCGAATCTCCTCCATTAGTATTTGCTCTTCACCTGTACAAATTTCTTTACCCTCTGCAGAATGAACACCTCTCAACACTCTCAATGCTGTCCATCTAAGCAACTATCTTGCATGCAATCTTCTGTCTACTTTACATATAAACAGGTAAAGTTTATGCCAAAGAAAAATGAGGTGACAGCAGAATGGTATTGCAGCATGAGTAGCTGTCAACTCAACGAGCGGGAATATTCCTGAATAGAATGCCGAGTGAGGCCTTCAAGTTTTAGAATACTGACATGCGGAATGTACCATATCAACAACTCATTCACATCCACAAGAAATTTTAAATCTAGATTGGTAGAGCCTCATTACTCCTGCTTTCTGTTAAGGTCCCGTCAATCGTCGGCTCTCTTTGCGTTTCCTCTCGTGTATAAGACCGGGCTCTCTTTCCATTCTTGCCTCTACTGCTTTGTCCAGAAACGCCAGCTTGACCACCCTTAAAACGATTCACGGCTTAATGAAGTATCTCCGCATTCGTCCTCTCTTTCCAATTCCCCGAAACCCCATGATCCTGACCCGAGACGCCCAAATCATTGTTTGACCGATCCATTCCTTCTTTATCTGCACAAATTGTTACTACGTTAACAAATACTCTCTCCAGAATGAACGCCTCTCGACACTGTCAATGCTGTCCAGTCAATGAGCGATACCCCTGCCTGCACAAGCTTCTGTATACTTTTGTAAACAAGCAAAGTTCGTACCACAGATCAACATAAAATGAGAAAACAAAAATGGTAAAATAAAACAAGGTGCGGAAATAGAATTGGCGGCAGCTGTCAGCTCAACGAGTTAGAATATTCGGTAACGGGAATTGCTCCCGTGATCAATCCAGTAGCTCAAGCTGAAGATTGGGGAGCGCAAAAACCAGAGGAATGTGAGAAATGAAGCAGCGGGCACATGAAGCAGAAGACGCAATGATCTTACAAGATTAGCTTGAAAATGAACTTGGAAAGAGCGTCGGTGCCTTGTTCCCAGTGCTGCACAACGTTGATTTTTGGGAGGATCAACCCTGGCACTCCGATAATCCACGCACTGCTGATAACCACGCTCCATCAACGGACTAAGCTCGAGGAAAACTTCTCAAAAACAAACCACAGATCCTGCGTGCGCACGGCTTGGACGACGGGAGGCAAAAGGTCACCTTTATACCGCAAAGTTTATTAAAAATGCTTCATGATATTCTAGGACAACCACTTGTTTTGATTTTAGATCATCACACTTGCTTCAAAGAATACTTGTTTATTGTCTTATGTAATAGCACTCAATGTGCATAATACTTATGTTTTGAGAAAGAAATTTTACAACTCAAAAAACTGTACTCATTAAATTCTTCTCCAACACATATATTTTATAGCAAGGAATCAAAATTAATTAAACTTATTCAATATTGATTCAAAATTTAAACTTCCACAAGTATGTAATCCTTTTTCTTGTTTTTTTTTTTTTTTTTTAATTCATTCATCTCCATGTTTCTTTTTTATACAGTCATGGATAATATTATATATATATATATATATATATATATAAAGATATGTATATATAAATAGAGGAACAATAATAAAGCAACAAATCCTTACAAAACCATCATTACACTTCGTATGCTACATCCATGTTCTTGTCGTTTCCATATCTTGTTCCCATACATATCCCTTGTTCCTCAAATACCCCTCTCCAATCCCATTCTTAACATCCCCTTGTTCTTCAATTAGCCATCCTTGACCCCGTTTCCAACCTCCCCTTGTTCTCCATTAGCCCTCCCTAATCCCATTCCAAAATTCCGGTGCTATCAAATATTACAATTTTTTGGTGCTATTGGATATTGCAACTAAATGTTGCAATATTTTGAAGCTACTAAGACTTGCACTCAGATGTTGCAACTAGATGTTACAATTTTCTAGGACTATCAGATGTTACAATCAGATGTTACAATATTCTAGTACTATCAAGAGTTGTACTTAGATGTTACAATCAAATATTGGAGTTTTTTGGTACTACTAGATGTTGCAATATTTTGGCACTACCAAGAATTGTACCTAGATGTTGCAACCAGATATTGCAATTTTCTAGGGCTATTGGATGTTGCAATATTTTGGCACTACCGAGAATTGCACTCACATGTTCCAATTGGATGTTACAATTTTCTAGCGCTACTAGATGTTGCAATTAGATGTTGAAATATTCTAGTGCTACCAAGAGTTGCACTCACATGTTGCAATATTCTGGCGCTACCAAGAGTTGCACTCAGATGTTGCAACCAAATGTTGCAATTTTTTGGCAATATCGGATGTTGCAACTAGATATTGCAAAATTCTAGCACTACTAAGAATTGCACTCAGATGTTGCAATTGGATGTTGCAATTTTTTGGTGCTACTAGATATTGCAACATTCTGGCGCTACCAAGAGTTGCACTCAGATGTTGCAATTTTTTGGTGCTATTAGATGTTGCAATATTTTGGTGCTACCAAGAGTTGCACTCAGTTATTGCAACCAAATGTTGCAATTTTTTGGAGCTATTGGATGTTGCAATTTTCTAGCACTATTGGATGTTGCAATATTATGGTGCTACCAAGAGTTGCACTTAGATGTTGCAACCAAATGTTGCAATTTGCTCGTGCTTCTAGATGTTGCAATATTTTGGAGCTACTGAGACTTGCACTCACATGTTGCAAACTGATATTGCAATTTTCTGGTGCTATTGGATGTTGAAACATTTTGGCGCTACCAAGAGTTGTACTTAGATATTGCAATTGGATTTTGCAATATTTTGGCACTACCAAGAGTTGCATTGAGATGTTGCAATTGGACGTTGCAATTTTCTAGCGCTATCGAATGTTGCAACTAGATGTTGCAATATTTTGGCACTACTAGGAGTTGTACTTAGAATTTTGGCACTACCAATATTTTGGCACTACCAAGTTGTTGCAATTGGATGTTGCAATTTTCTGGCATGACTAGATGTTGCAATATTCTAGTGCTTTTGACAGTTGCTTTCAAATATTGCAACTGGATGTTGCAATTTTCTGGCACTATTGGAAGTTTCATATTTTGCACTTGTGTATTCCGAAAGATTGTTTGTTTTTGATTATTTTGATCTCATTTATTAAGTGTATGTAAAGTGTATATAAGGCGTTGCAATCCAGCATACCAAGCGTAGTAGTATTTTCAGAACGAGGTCCCGGAAATCTGGGTTTATTCAGGGCTGCCAGGTCTCTTTTCTCATTTTTTCCCTTGATTATTGATTTCATGTTTTGTTCATTGTTCTCATTTTTTTCCTCCTTTGTATCTTTTCTAGTCTTCAGTCGGCACAATCGTAGGGTATTTACAGGTGACTTTCACAAACATCGACGCTGCGTGTCGGTCGCAAGCCGATTTCAATTATGGATTGTTTCGATTATGCTCGGGTGCCAAGTTCAACCATTAATTTTACATGCCTTCATGGAGGAGAGTCCCGGGCCGACCTTGGGTTGATGATGAAATTTATGCTATGCTGGAGTCTATGCTGGAGCCTATGCGGGAGTTTGTACTGGAGTCGAAGGGAGTAGCCGCGAGGGCGTCTGTAGGATTCAACACCTGGGATTATATTTCTGATAATTTGTTTGATGAGTATTGTTTCGACAGAGCTTCCATGTCATGCCAGCAGCAATGGGACACTCTTCTGCAGTCTTACAGGGCTATTCAAGATCATGAATCGAAGATCCAGAGTGATACACGCAGCTGTGTCAGTTACTGGAAAATCTATGCGGAAGAGAGATCCAACAAGAAGTTGCCACTGGCATTCGACTTGGAGTGGTATAAGCTAATCGAGAAAATTTGTGCCGCGAAGATTGTGGAAGAAAATTGCATGAAAAAGTATCGATTTATGTGCTCTGAATTCGATGAAATCAACACAATGAGCGAGTACGAATTTTTGAGCGGTGTCTCGACTACCACAATGGAGTCTCAAACAGAGGTTGCTGCCGGTAGCTATGACTCAGCCGTAAGTGCGCCTTGCTACGAAACCAAATCGAATTGTTCTAAAGTTCCACTAAAGTTGCTCTAACGTTGAGTTGGGAGGAAGGAGGCTTCTCTTCATTTCATGGCAATAGGGATTTAAAGTTTGTACGTAACCCTCAACATGGAAAAGAACAAAAAATGAAGTAAAAGAGAATCAGGATTGTAATAGCGGTTTGTAGAGTCAAGAGGAATGATAATCTTGACAAGGATGCGAGGTTTTGTCATATCACTGTGTCTTGGTCAAAGAGCTTAAAGATCAACAGCTAATACAGTATGCGTGTCAGAGCATGCGCTTAGTCGGGTTTTGAGCTGCAATCGGTTTCACAATTGCTTGTAAGTCTCATTTGAAGGATCCACAACGAACTCTGGAGGGTCACTTTTTCAATCCCCCTTTCATGCGTTTAGAAACAGTAATTCGACAAGCTTTGCATCTCTTTGAAATAGAATTTTCATTCGTCAATGGTTTCTTGAATGTTTTACACCTGAGATGTTTTTTCGAATGGATTCTCCGAGCGGTGGCAAGGGCGACCTCAAGCTTATTCTCTCAACAGAAATCAGCATAGGAAGCAGCGTTAGGGTTCGATCGGCTGAAGGATTGGAAACCTAACATCTATGTCAATGGATACGATAGGCACATGGAAGGAATGACAAAGTCGGATTTCGAATATCCACGTTCACTTCCATTTTGAAGTGTGGACCTGGATTGGGGAGGAAGGAAGGATGGAAGGCTCTAAATCTGATCTTGGGACCTAGGTCATGCTTCTATTTGCAATTCTCTTCTCTTCTTTTTTGGGTTGAAGAATGGCTCTAGCTTTCTCCACACCCTGGCTGAAGCTACTGCAATTGCAGTCACGTCGGCATCGCTACAGCCTCAGTGGCTTGCGACCCCAAACTAGCTCAGGTTGGTGCTTCCAGAAAAGTATCGCAGTCGTTGTTTCCTTGAAAAGTCGACTGACGTGTTTTTGTGTGCCTTGAACAGGATTGACGGTAGGCCTGCACATTTCCACTCTGGTCGACATGGTTGCTGATCTACTGTGACCTGATTCACGGTCTAATGTTGAACCATTTACCTGTCCCGCTGCCGATAATATCCCTCTACGCCCTAATTCCAGGTTCCAGGACCGATGAAGTGCATGTCGTGAAGCCCAAGCCAAACCGTAAAATTACCGAGGTAACTGCTGCACTCATGTATCTCTCTCTCGGTTTCCTTTTAATTCTTTTTCTTTTATTTTTGAAATTTTGTTCCTTCACACGTTTCGTTTGTGCGTGTGAATCAGGGGTTTCAGAGGGTACTGTATCTGAACTCCTGTTTCAAATCTTCGAAGTGTAGTTCCACATGCTCTCGAAGGCTTGCGCAGATGCCAGCAAGTTGTTTTTCGTTTTAAAGTTTTGTCTCAGAATAACTCCTCCTTGTTCTGCTTCGTGAAACAACCTTCACAGGAAACGTTTGAATGTCCGAGTCACGATCAGCAAAGGAAACCCTAAAACTTGCCTCTTGTCTGAGTGAGAAACCACTCCATCGTATGCAATTAGCCCTAAACTCAGAAGTTACATTTGGATTAGGTATGGTTTTGTAAAAACTTAACTTGTGGAAAAGACATATACTATCTAGCTAGTGTACTTGGGAAGAAAGAGATTGAAAACTTAGAAAGTCATCTTTGTTTCTATATCCATGCTTACAGTACGTCATATTGTTTTCAATTTTTGAATTGTAAAATAACCCCTTTTTTTTGGTTTATGCTGAAGGATTGTAGGTTAAAGCATTGTCATAGCGGTTCTCAATTTCAAAATGCAAATTATGTCATGAAATTTCTACACATGAAGGACAGAAAAATAATTAAACTCCATTAAAGAGATATCAACATCAAATGTAATAGAGTTCGCCGAGTTGCCACTGCAATAATTCATATTCTAAATCTATGCCACACAAAAAGTTTCTATCTTACTTAACACAAGTGTTACTGTGATGGGGAAACGCTGGGAAGCACGAATTAAATCATAATATATTAACCAAGGAACATCCCACTGAATGAAAAACCCTCACAACCTTGGCACCACACATACTTACGAACATGCATTCATTCGTCGACGAGGTTGTACCCGTCAAGGTGCCGTGGGCTCGTGAGCTCATGAGGGATGCGCCTTGAGAAATGCGAGCTTAGCAAATGCGGAGATGGCGCGGTTCACTGCCCGGCGGATGCTCCCCCCTCTCTTTCCAATCCGTGCGCTGCTTGCGCGGAGCTCACGGCACAGTGAGTGAGGATGGTGAGTTACAACTCTGCTGCAGCTCGGGGCTATGAATCCCCTTCCCATTCAATGCGGGTTGTCCTCCGAACTGCGCCTGCCCTGCTTGCAATCTGCTATGACCACTGCCCACATGAAAGTCCACATCCTGGAGTGTGGTGCAATGTACTTGGACCATAATGGCGAACGCAAGGCACGGGACACACCAAGTTTCTCACACACGCGACCCTGATTTCCAACACGGGAGCAGACTCTACCCCAAGCGATTGTCAACCCTCTCGTCAGGAAGCTGGCGCTGTGACCAATGTGCGAGAAACTTCTCGCTCAGGGTTCACCGCACTTCTGTCGCTGTCGTCGCAATGCCCGGACACCGAGACTGTTGATGATGTGTACTATGTAGCGTAGGGTGGCGTGGGTGCGGGCTGCGCACAGTGTTTCGACGTCGGTTCTTCATAACTGCATGCCAAATACAACTCGTTCTGTCACGTGCAGTTGCTGCACTTGTGTGATGCATTGCTGGAGCGATTAAAAGTGCAAAGGGTTGAGAGGAGAAACCGTTCAAAAGCGGATAGTGTTGTGGGTTCAGAAAAGGAAAGTGGCAACATGATGGTTAAATTCACAGTTGTAAATTACAATGATCCTGGGTTGCTTTGTGCCAGTCTGGACCCAGCAGTGCAGCTTCGAAGGATGTATATACCTTTAATGAACTACTCTCAGATTTCAATGGCCGCTCTCAAAATATTAGTGTGAGAGTGGGTGAAAGCAAAGAGTTCATCAAGCTGCTCTAACCAGTACAATCACGAGGTCTCTCGGACCACATTCCGCAGATTGGAAACATCGTCAACGCATTCCACCGCAAGGAACATGCATCGCAAGAAGCTTCCTACTTCGGAGCCGATCCAAAAAATAATAATAATAATAATAATAATCCCTACACCCCCCTCTCGTCCTCCCCTTCTTAGCGACAGAGACTCTGTACCCACGGATAGTCCAGCTTACAGAGTGCTAATATCACCCAACGCCTAAATGTCCATGTGGTGCACAAGCCTCGGCGTTTTGATATACAAGAAAAAAGTTGGCTATCGCAGAAACATTCCTTTCGACCAACCCAGTCCCTGATGTTGCTGCGAAGAATAAGTCTGTACATGAAGAATGTGTTCATTCATCATGCAAGGGGGATGAAACAAGTCGCAAGAGCAGCTTCCGCAGGAAGCGTGATTGTTTAAGTCCTCCCAGGGCTCCTCCGGGTCAGGGGTGTTCAGTCGGCGCCACGATCTTCGTTGTGTCCAAGCAGCTGTGCAACCACTCATGGGGAAAAATAACCCCGAGGTGCTCCCAAAAAAAGACTGGTGAAAGTTCGATGCTAACTGCTCACTTGCACTTTGCGGTGGGATAGAAAATTCTCAAAATCTGGCGCGCTGAAGAAGCTCGTGGGCTGCACTCGGCGACGGCGAGACATAGCGCGGGGTTTCCTTGGAGCCGGAGGGCAAAAGGTGACATCCACGTCGGGTATCCTGTGCTCCCCCGATTTGGGTGTCTCGCAACCAGACTCCCGCGTGACAGCTTCGTCGTCTCCGCTGAGAGGCATGTCCGACGTCGCAGGCTTGCTGTGAGGCAAATCCTTTTGCGTCGTGCAAGAACTCGTAACGGTTAATGAAAGCTGAGAGGCAGTGCTGCTTGTTGTGAGCACTGGCCGTGGAATAGGCAGACAAACCCAGCTGTCAAGAGAGAGACGTCGCCTTCCGGATCCTGCCTCTATGGATTCGTGAGGTTGCGTTTGCAGTATCTGGAAGCGGCTTACAGATGTGGGTGCCATTGCTAGAATGCGACCAACTAGCGACCTTGAAAAAAATATCCAAAAACACCACCACTATCACCCTTGACTTATTAAAAAAGAATAAAGAAAAAAAAATCCTTTGAAGCTCACCGTAATCCAGGAAACTATTCAACGTCCACGTCCAATTCTTTCACAAATATTCCAACACTCGTGCAACACCTCCACTCATCAGCAATGTAAATCACCACTGCAGAAGAGATTGCCCACTTCAACACCTACGCAACCAATTCCTTCGACACAACCAATATCATAACCCCTACCCAATTCTCATTCAAACCTCCTAAACCAAACACTGTCCTCACCACTCCTTGAACCTTCGCTTTACAACAACACCACGCCTCCGAACTCAACTCCCATAATCAGCAAAACACGACATATTGGAAGAGACCGAACACAGCTACGAGTAATGACAAACCCAAGTCCTTTTAGCGACAATTATACTTGGAAGAAATAAATTGCAGAGGAAAACATTTTAGAAGCAGGTTCTCAGCAGACAGCAGGAAAAAGGGACCTGCATCTTGGACGTAACAATGAGTGACGACTCTCTCAGCGTCGCCAACTGGAACACCCGTGAAACTTACAGCACAAGGCACCAAAGAGTGGACCAACAATAAGGTAGATGAAAGGAGGAGGCGATGAAGAGGAACAAGGAACGAAGGAGGAGGCGATGAAGGGGAACGAGGAACGGAGGAGGAAGTAGTAGTGGAAGAATGAACGAGGAGGATGGAGCCACTCACTCTTCTGCAAGTCTGTCTTCTCCACGACGAAGTGCAAAAGTATGAGCCAGCCAGCCTCACATGGGCAAGGGGATGAGCAAAACCTCCCACTCACTCACCCACTGGTTGATACCCTGGGCGTTGATTGAAACCCCGGACCAACCCCACTCCCCACTGGGACCAGCGCCCGAGCCAGGTCTCCCAGGGCACTTCCGCGCCAGACCGGAGGTGAGCGCGGTTCGCGTCACCGGCGCGGACGGGTACCCCGCGCCGGGGCTGCCCGCGGGAAAATCGGGCAGGTCGGGCAGGTTGGGTGAACTGTTCAAGAATATATATTTTCATGGTGTGTGTAGTTGACATGAGTGGATTATTCCTGGGAGTTATGAATACATACATATATATATATATATATTAATTTTTTTTATAAATAATATTTATAGGTTTAGTTTTAAATAGAAAATAAAGTGGAATTCATTTACAACAACCCAAAGATTTGTAATTCAATTTCCTCATTTGCTTACGAAATCCCAATAAATCCTATAAAACTAATTTTGTTTTTTAGTGCTATGGAATAGAATAGTGCTTACAAAACTTGGCAGTTGGGATGGTAATTGCCTCTTCATTTGGAGGTGGATTTGGGATTTTGATCATTATTGCCTCATTTAATTGCTTCTTTAGCTTATGATTGGCATTCTAGTACCTTCCAAGGCTGGCCCCATTAAGCTTTGGATTGAGCATAAAATCAAGCACATCAACAGGTTCATTTATTAATAAACCCTAAAGAGTAAAAATCATACAGAAATGCAAAAAGCTTGATTGTCATAAACATGAGAAATTTTTGACATGGACCCATTCATTGTCAATTATGAAGGCTACACCAATGGTTTTCAATAGACAGTGTTTCTAAACCATGTTGGATGATGGTGTAGATAGCAATGTGTGCATTAGAAGATTTTAATTTAAAAAAAAAACATGACCCAATGTAGTGTTGGATCAATTTATTGACATTTTGAAGAATTTGTATGTCTTGAACGACTTCCATTTCACCGCAGAATTTTCTATTTAAAAATATATGATATCTTGATGTTCAGTATTGAAGTAATTATGAATTAAAGATGACCAACCTCAACCATTTAACAAAACCTCACACAAGGTTTAGTTCAAGTGAAAAAAAACATATTTTTCTTTTGGAATAACATAACACAAGCACCTTAAAATTGTTGGAGTTTGTAAAAACGTAAATGAACACAATATTGTATAATGAGTTTGGAATCATATCTTATGAAACAAATACTTGAGGACTTAATTCCAAAATAAAGAGCTTGGAAAAGATACATGAATCTGCATCTACACTACAACATAGGTAAAGAAAGCTTCTGAGAGGGTCTAAAGTTGCAAAATCAACTAATTAATCCTTGAAATACTTAATTTATAAATAAGAAAAACCATATATTTTAAACACTAGTTTTTTTCTAAAAATAAAAATTTAAGTGGAATACCTTGGTGTTTTTCTTCATGTAATTTTAAATTTCACACCTTGAATAAAAATTGAACACATATGTTTCTGGTCATAATTAAAATTAAATTAAATTAAATTAAAAACCAATATCCAATGTGGTTTGGCATACTTATCTGCCTTGAATTCTTATATTCTCTTTAAAAATAGTAAATTATATGATTTGTAATTTATGCATTTTTTTTTATTATTATGATTATTTTTCTATTTCAAAGTATGACAAGTAAAATTGAAATAGTTATGACGAAGAAATTTCTAGCAAATCCTTTAGAACTGGGAAATAAATTGGTTATTTGAGATATGTATTAAAATAAATAAATTATATACGTTCATTAATTTTAGATGCTTTTGAGTAAGTTGGATTCAGAATCACTTGAATGAGATTTCTAACATTTGCCTTTTGATTGAATATATCATCTTTAAAATCATTGAAATCAAACATTACAGTTTGTGATTTGACACATGTGATAGATCTCAAGTTTTGGATTTCAGTCTTACATGTAACATGTTTTAAGAATTATCACATATTTGGCAAGCATTGGATTCCAATAAGAGTAATTTCAAAGAAGAAAATTTGAAGGCTTGTATGCACTGGCTAAATGTTGGAAAACTTTTCTTCTCTCTTCCTATTGCATGAACTGATTTTAGACTCTCGATGCTCTACATATTCCCTAGGGTCCTGAGATGAGCAGACTCCTGCAGAATTTCACATCTCAATAGTATTATCCGAGTAGCTACACCAAAAGCATAAGCTAGCACACCAAGATGTGCAGAATTCAAATCATGAACTCGCAAATTGATTAGAAACAAAACTGCACGAACTTTGGTCATTGAGGACAAGTGCATAAGCCTTGTCCCAAAGGCTTTTAACATACACTGCAAGTAATAGTAGTAGACCTGGAGTTATCAGTTTGATTGCTAAAATGATACACCAGGTAAAAATACAAAGGTTACTAGGACAAATCATGTGATTCGCCTAATCCAATCACAAGAACTAATGTGGAATGTCTATGATTTGGAATGCTGTCTTCAGAACCGCCATGGCTGGGCACATCTGATGCTCTACTAGCCACTCCTATTCCATTAGATATCCGACCTGTGCACATTCCAAACACTCTATGTCTTCACAAATTGTGTACTACATTAACACGGGCAACACTGCATTGAGAGTACACTACAATTTCACTAACCTATGTGACGAGGTCCATATATGATGGTGAGAAACAGTTACCATCTAGCCTTGCATTAAGACTTCTTTAGAGTCCGTTAATCGAAAATGAAACGAAATTAAAAATGAAAGGCAGTTTGTGGCATTGTACAGGAACAGTTGGCCCATGTTCATCATACAATACACCAACAGCCGCTGCTGTCGTTAAGGCGTTGAAGAAACACCGACACCTAGTGCAGATCAAATGGAGATAAAAGCTGTTTCTGTTGCGATTATCGTGAAGCCCGCTGCATCGCCCGCTCCACACCAACATGTGGACGTAGTATAGGTCTGACGACACTGCATTTGCTTCTATCCCCGAGTCAAAGAACAGTAAAAGAGGAAATATTCCTCCTTTAAAATAAGTTGTTACCACTGTCGAAAGCCAAGTGGCATTCCTTGTTCATACCCAAAGGCTGGAATGCCGATAAATTCTCACTATTGAGCCAGATTCCACGCATCGGTCATTCACATCACAGATAACTTCGGCCGCTTCAGCACTCAAACTAACTTCTTGCTTCCATCAAACAGTGAGTACGACATCTGAAGTCATCCTAGTCCTCGCAGACTCGGACTCCAAATCGTTGAAGATGTCTCGCAAGGCTGTCAAAACAAGTAAATTCATCGTTGGTCAGTAATAGACATGACATCATGAAAGGCAACATTGCGGCCAGTTTCGATTCCTAAAACAGAGAGGATCAGTATAACTACCTCTGTTGGAGAGCCATTCCATAGAGCCTCATGCATTGGAAGACATGCACCGAATTAAATTACTCGTGGAGTAGAGCATTACCTTGATTACCCCATCGATACCGCCGGTGATCATCGATAAAATCTAGATGGAGAAGCATACCATTCATGACAATACTATCACCGCGCCTTCAAATGCAGATCGGCTGTCTCGAATGTAGCAATGTTAATGATTAATCGAGCCTAGACTAATATATATATATATATATATATATATATATAAACATGAATCCTGGTTCTATCTCATAAACTAACCGTGGCATCGAAATGACACGCACACACGGCGAAAATCCCAGGGAAAAAAGCACCACGCGTTCGGGTGCATGCAGCTGCAACCAGCTCAGGGTTCGCAACTACAGCTGTGTCACAGAACGAGCAATTACGCGCATAATACTGCGGGGAAGATTACGAGGCACCAACTTTTTAAAAATTAGTGGTTCAATGCACCTACCTTTCAAAAATTAAATCACGTACACCCCATCACATGTAGAGATCAATGTCCCTATTGTGGAGGGTCGTCATGCCAAAACACACCCTATCCTTCATCTCAAATGTACGACCCATCTGCAATTCCTAGCCGAAATCTGTAAAATTGCCTTAGAATGCCTTCTCAAAAACTGCTCAAAACAAGTAGCACGGTGCCAAGCGCAATTCCTGGCAAGTGCCATGGTCCTCAGATGCAACGGAGCAAGCAAGTGCCAATCGACCCACACCGCGGGGCTTTTTCGGAGCTGGAGGACATAAATCGATTTCAACAGCAGGTATCATATGGTCCACGGATTTGGGTGTCTCGCAACCGAACTCTCGCGATTCCTCGTCCTCGGCAGAAGGCGCGACAATTTCCAATTTCTCAACAACAGAGGAGTAATCTTTCTGCTTCTTGTAAGAGAAGCCACGCAACGGCGCACGAACCGACCGAAGAGCGGCCATACGAACCCATCCTTCAAGCGACTGACGGCTCCTCCCAAAACCCACCTCCATGGACTTCTCATCTTGCGTGCTCAACATACTGGACGAACTCAGCTCGAAACCGTCCGAACTGAAACAGAATGCAAGCACAGAAACACCCTCCTCACTAACGTAGAGCCAAAAATCACAAACAAAACCTCCGAGGCTCCAATTCACGGCAGTAAACTCAACAATGTAAAGCGTGAGAGATTCCAAGAGAGAGAGAGAGAGAGAGAAGCTAGAAGGGAATTAAAGAGAAGTCCACCAAGAGGAGCGATGTTTACCAGGATCGCTGCTGCACAGGCAACTAAACTCAAAAACCAGAAAAAGCGATTTTTAGGCCGCTTTATGCCGCCCACTACCGCTCAGCCACACGCGCGGCACGGCGCGGGTGAACGCGGCGCGGGTAGCTGGGGGCCCGGGCCCGAAGTTGGAGCCCCCTCGTGCGTACAAATAGGGGAGTGCAACTTCGATGAGGGAAAAATTAACAAATTGTTTAATATTATCCAGGAAAGAGTATTAAATTGCAAGGCTCCGATTGCATTGAGTTGGCTGCCAGTCCGAAATTGGTCCATTTTTTTCGGTTCTTTTTGGCCCTAAATTGGATTGTTCATAATTGTTGTGAATGGGGAAAAAACACCCACATGCTATCAAGCAAATTTATGGATGATTAAATAAAAATAAATTCTAGAGTTGATTTTGTGTTTCATCTGGTGAAGAGCCACGCTGAGCTGGTGGGATATGGGTTGCAATTTTGACATGCGTGGGACATAGTGCACATATTGAGGTGTATTTGTGATTTTATTGTGTTCATAACATACATTCAATCTTTAGGATATTTGATTGTTGTGAATCAAAGGGTTGTGCTAAATCACAAATATGTTTAACATAAATATTCATGATAATATCTGATTTATTGAGATAGTAAAAGGTTAGAACAAGTAAATAACATTTTTAAATGTACATGACATCATGAAGTATCTAGTATTCAAGAGTTCTTAAATCATATAAAATAAATTGAACTTTGAGCCAAAATTGAAAACAAAACTGGAAAAGAACAGATTGTTTTGGATTGCTTTTGAACAAACCAAGGAACATTGTAATTTACAATAACAAGATTGGAGGATAGAAGTTTGGCAGAATAAAAATAAACAAGTATATATGTATGTATATATATAGTTTGTCTAATATAAAAACTAATCTGCTAAAGATTATGTGAAATTTAATAATACCATGAATTATTTTTCTGCAAATATTATGTTTTATGAAATTATTTAACAGCATTTAACCAAAGAAACATCATTGATTAATAAATAAATAAAAAAAACTAAACTATCTTTCTTATAAGTTTTAAAAAAAATCATCCAAATAAATAAGTTATTTAGATTGAAATTATTAATAATTATGTCCAAATTTGAAAGGATATTATTCCAATAGAATATATATACATATTAAAAGCTATAAAATTTTCAACCTTCAAAACAAAATAATTCCAATCACATTTATCAAAACAGATGAATTATGAGGAGTCAAAAAGTGGTTATGAAAAATAAAAAACAAAAAATAAAAAATAAAAAAATAAAGAGTTCTATATATATATATATATATATATATATATATAAATATTCTCAAATAAAAATTCTGAGATATGCTTAATAAACATAAGTATGAATATATAAAAAATTTTAATACATCAAATTATACAGTCTAAAAATAGATTACACATGTACAAAAATAGATCTTTCTAATTTGATAATTATATATTGGCACGAAACAGAAGAATTGACTTGAATGAAATTAGAATCAAAACTCTAAGAATGAAATTTAAATCAAGACTATTTTTTTAATATTTAAAAACTTATAATAATAATAATAATAATAATGGTAATATACATAATTTTATTATTTTTTGTGCAATATTTGTAAACATAATATGAACATATTATAAAAATATCTTTTGAAACACAACTTCTTTTTTTACACACACACACACACACATATATATATATATATATACATTATTTAAGATTGTAATTAGTTAATGAATAATATCAAATTCATAACTTTAATTCATAAAATATTTTTTTTTTTGTGATAATCAAATGTAAAATATAAATTATAGGTTTTTTTACTTTTGATTTTGGTTCAGTTTAGTATAAATTATTATTATTATTACTATTTAATTTTTATTTTTACAAAGTATAAATCTAAGTCTTGTGCATTTAAATTATAATATCATATATATATATATATATATATATATATATATTTAAAATATATATTTAAGTGCATTAAATTAACTATTTTATTAGTAAATTAATTTACTAGTTTTTTTTGGAGATTACAATAATGTCTTGTCTTTAAATGCCTAGGTCTATAAGTCAACTTTTGTACATATATATATACACTCAATTATATAAGTTTTCTATTAATTACATATAAGATTTTTTCTTATTATTAAATTTTATATAATTAAACCTTGTCAAAAATTAAATCCTTTCATTTTGATTAATCTTCCTCAATTTTTAGTATCTTCAACCTATGCCATTACCGGATAGTGGAAATGAATAGTAATTTAAATGAAATCTCAATGATACGTACATGATTTATTTTTAAAGTTATTACATTTATATGTTATGTATTTACAAATACAAGTAAGGTATTTTTGATTTGAAGTTTTAGATTCAACCTAATCTTAACATGTCTATCAGTTTATGGTGTCTTTTCACATTAAAAATAAATAAATTTGGATACCTGAAAAATTAGTTGTTATATAATTTGGAAAAGATATATTTCATTTTCACATTCTTAAAGAGGAATGTTTCATACAAAGGGCAAAAATTTCTGGAATATTGACTAAGTTTCGTTGTATTTATTTATTTATCTATTGTATTATAGTTAAATATAACATGGGTTTTATATGAGATTATTTAATTCTATGAAACACAAAAAAAACAGATTTATTACATGTTATAATAAGATGATAAAAATAAAAATCCTTAATCAATATAGTGATCATTTACCTTTTTACAAACAAACAAGATGGCAACATTAAAAGTCGAGTAAAAGTATAAAAATAAAGTAAAAAAAATACTTTGCCAAATTGAAACACAAATAAATATCAAATTATCCTATTTGAATTATTTCAGAAGACTACTTCAGAAGATTATTTCAGGTTTGAATCATCTATAATACTAATATTGAAAAAATCATACATAACAGTCTTAATGTGATGCTTAAAGAAAAATACTAATCCAAAAGTTTTTATTTATTTATTTTTATAAAGGCATTTGTTTATTTTTAATTTCTTAAAAATATCTCTTTGCTTGTGAAGATTCAGATGATGTTTTAGTACAGGCGTCAAATTTCATGGAACTTTTTATGCATTTGATGTACATACATAGACATACTTTTTCATTATTATTACTGCTATTATTATCATTATTATTTTTTAAATTTCAATTTTATAATTGAATAATATCTCTTATTATTCCTAAATTATAAATTTGTGTACGAAATATATCCCATTAGCTTTGGAATTAAAGTTTCAATATTCTCTCTACTGAAATGTTCATTATCACTGCTTTATGATGCAACTATTGCTCTTGAAAGTCTAAATTTAATAGTTAAACAGATGGTGTGATTTAATTCTAATATGGTGTATTCAATCTAATTTAATGTTGCATGCATACTCCTTTCAGTTTTAATGTATCTTTTAGATGAGTAGTTTACAATCCCAATTCCATGAAATGACATGATATATCCAATCATGGTTTGAGCATACTTTTGACAATGCTCCTAGATCAATAAATTATCAAACCAATAAAAAGAGTGTTTTACGTTTGTTTCTCTTCAAAAACTTTATAAACTAAGAATGAGAATAAGGATAGCAAATGATCTATACTATGTTAAAAGAGTGTATTTAATAGAACTAGAGTCCCAGACCATTGAGGAAAAATACTTAATACACTTTTAAGCATATTCCATTTTATTAAGTTTTGAAATAAATATCCTATAAGAAAAGGTGTTGAAAATAAACCATCAATGAATGAGCATCCATGGAAAAATTATAAGTAATTTAAGAGAAGTACGTGTTTTAGTTTAATATATTAAAAGTAGAAGTGATTTATTTATGATTTGATATTTAATAATAAAAATATACAATTGTGCTCATTTTTATTCAGTAACATTTAAGTGGCCATAAAATAGAATCTCTTGTGATTTGTCATTTAGTTATGTACCATTTCAAAAGTAGTTTTAAATACTTAAACAATACAATATAAAGTTTGGTTATACACACAAACACACACACACACACACACACACATATATATATATATATATATATAGATATATATATATATATTATTTTGTGAATGTAGCATTTAAAAAGACAAGCATTAAATTAACCATCACAAAAAGAAACATGTTCAAGGAATGTAGCCTCCTGCACACAATACACAATGAATCATTGATAGGAGTTTTTAACAAGCATAATGAAAATATTCTCATGTTGTTATGAAAATTACTATAGACTCTATTTTTTCTATTCCATTTATGATCACGTTATATTCGTTTATTTTTAAAATAATTTCGAATACTATCCTAAAAAAATACGAAATATGTTGACTTTGCAAGACATATGTCTTAACTTGCAAGGCAAGTTTTTTATATACATACCATATTGTTAGCTTGTATCACTAGCTACTAATACGTGCAATACATGGCTAGCTTGTTGGCCAAGTTTCTAACCTACTAATCAACTACAAATATGTATAAAGTCAAATACGCATCTATGAAGCTTTTAAGAAGCTTTGTTACAAGATAATATCAAATCTATATATATTTATTTTCTACTAACACTTCTTATTTAAATAAATATAGATATCCATGACATTATCCTCTCTTCTAGAAACAAGTTCTATAAGAAGTGGTCATTATCTTTCATAGATCTTGTTATTCTTCACTTTAATTTTGATGGATGTCATCAATAAAAAGCATCAACTTTCTTTGCTGTATTTGCAAGTTTTTTTGCAAGCTCTCATGTGCATTCATTAATATCATATCTGTGCTAATAAATTAGATATTTCAATCTATTTTGGTATTGCTTTGAATTTAAGACTTCTTCTTCCTTAAAATTTTGATTATTATCCACTTCTATTAGAAAAAGTGATATTTTTCTTCTTTTCAAGATATTTACTATCTTATATGGCTCAAGAAGAGATATATAGAATTTGAGATGAATCTTTATAGACTCCAATAGATATAATTGATGAATAATTAAATTAATTTCTTCACAAATAAGAAATGGTCCAAAAAGATA